TCATCGAGAAAATCCCGGGTTGAGAATAGAATTTTAACTATGAGACTGGGCTGAAAGTAGCGGTTACGCACAGAAAATCAGGAGAAGAACAGCGTTTTGGGTGCCGTCACCGTTGACCAAGATCTGCTTTTCTTCTAAAATACCGTTGAAGTTAGAGGTTGTGTATCCCGTAGAGTTCAACGGAGACTTACTTAAGTCATATGGTAAGACAACCATGATGTGGTTCATTCTACACGGCCTATACCCCACGGCGCTTAGCTTATATTTTTTCCCTCGCCCATGCGTTAAGCGAGCTGCCTGCGTCGCACTACCAGCTGCCTATAATGGCTTTTCAAGCAAATTTCATGACCAACCACGCTCCCATGCATGAGACACTTACCTCTGCAATTGCCTGCCAGCTGATCACCAGCTCGCGTGAACCAGCGTCAAAGGTAAGCGCACACCAAACACGGTTTTTGGCTCCGTCTACTCGCATTTATCTCCCTCCACACAGCTCAATGGACGACTGCATAATTAACTTTGATATATGGGAGGAACTATCGAGCTAATGCATGCCTCTCATTATTATATTGCTACAGCAGATCACTCCGATGACTTACCATCATCTTTATTATCTTCAACTGAAAAATTACTATCGTTCTTTGAGATTAGGAACTATTGCAGTGCTGCAGTAGTTGGTAAAATGTAACCACTCGCAGCAAACAGACATTTTTAGCCGCTATTTCCCCCGCTAACTTTGGCGTCTTTTGGTTTTTATTACGTGCCGTTTATTATTTTGATTCCGCAATCAATCTCTCATCCGAATAACAGCAGCAGAGCGAGGAGTGCTCTCAATGAACCCAAGAACACTCTTACTCCACACTGAACAACCCCCACTATATAATTCCTTTGCCGCTCCTGACCGCCCTTATGACCCAAACAAATTCAACAATATCCTAAATACACGAGGCTATCCACAAAATGCACGACTTTACGATGCACGCACTGCGACTGCCGTATCAAGACTGACGGCTTGCCTGTGGTTCACCATATGTCTGATAGTTTTTGACCGAGCGTGCTACTTAATTAGCTGAATTTGTGCCTGTCACGAAACGCCCAGACATGAAAAAGCGCATGTGCATAGAACGACGCATCCTCAAGTTCTTCATCGGTGCCACACGTAAATGTACAGAACGCACAAGTGGACGACCATATTTGGCCCCGTAGTCCTCCTATATATTTACGCAGAAGCTTTGTATGTTTTAAACTGAAAATACAGCCGTGTCCCGAGTTCTCTGCCTTCTTCTTCGCGTAGTCTGGAAGGCTCAGTGCAGGCGTTACCAACAGGCGGCTACCCACAATACAACGGCGCCAAAGCTCCGTACCGTACCATTTTCGGTTTTGCTCTCTCTACACATATACCCCATTTATTGGTTCTAGGTTGCATATATCTTTTCATGCGATGCCACAGCTTTGCCCAACCCACTTGATTGGAAAAGCGGCCGTCCATACTCCAGAAAACCAGTAATTTCATCCGACATTAAAGCACCTGTATTTCTGTGGTGAATACTCTGTTTCTCTTCACCTGATCTAAGAATGGTCATCAGCCTCTTGCAAGCTAGACTTCAGCTTACACCTCAGTGTCATCATACTTGCTTGAAGGCTGCTTCTTTCGGATCAAGTGTTAAGTCGAATTATAACATGCCCTGCTTCCGCCATCACGATGCCCCGCTTTCACTCATTTCAAGATTCCAGCCACACGACCACAATATCGGCTGTGCTTAGATATCCCTGGCATTCGCTGGGTTCAGATCGTGTCGTTTGGAGAACAAAGCTGCATGCATTCAACTGCCAAGGAAGCTTGCTAGTCGCATTTCTGATTACACAAAAGCAAGTAATGATGGTCGTTTTCCCTTCCAAGTCCACAAAGTCTAACACTTTTGGCTTGATTCAAATGTGTAGTGGACTTGGGACCTTATGAGCGTGTTCGATCAAATGAACGAGCAAACAAATACAAAATAACAAAATCACAACAAGAAAATAGAAAGCAATCGCTAAGGACTCACGAATGCGTAGATCTAACAGTCCACTACACCGGCCGTGAAGGAAATATTCACTTGTAGCAAGTTTCCACTGGTGACTCATGTGTGAGTGGTATATTCCACGATAGGGAAGTTATTCGCAGCTCAAAAATGTCACAGGGAGTTAATGCGACGTTCAACAGTTCACACAAACACAGAGATCTAGTCCCGCCGGTTCGGCGGTCAGCAAACAGTTCAACGGAGTGCAAATCTGCCGATTTCAAATGAACAGCAAACAAATACAAAATAACAAAATCACAACAAGAAAATAGAAAGCAATCGCTAAGGACTCACGAATGCGTAGATCTAACAGTCCACTACACCGGCCGTGAAGGAAATATTCACTTGTAGCAAGTTTCCACTGGTGACTCATGTGTGAGTGGTATATTCCACGATAGGGAAGTTATTCGCAGCTCAAAAATGTCACAGGGAGTTAATGCGACGTTCAACAGTTCACACAAACACAGAGATCTAGTCCCGCCGGTTCGGCGGTCAGCAAACAGTTCAACGGAGTGCAAATCTACCGATTTAGCAAAAAGTCAGCAAGTCGCGCCGAAAACTTGTGTATTGGTACCTTTTTTCTCTTGATGGGATCATTGGTACAATAGAACAAACGTCACGATAAAGTATGTACAAAAATCACACCGTGTAGTTCAAGTTCAGGAAAAATGGTAAATAAATGTGACAACGGATTACAGACATTACAAATGCAACTTTCAATAAATGCAAACCGTAGAGGCAAACCCCTTATAGAACTCTGTAAGCCGGATCGTCACTTGTGCATATAAAAGCATCAATTTGGTCAACCAAAGTCAAGTTACAAATTAATCCGCAAGTTAACTGCCTTATGCGCTGGGACCATATTCCCTTTGGTAATAAACATCTTGAGATAACGCTAATTTTGCCGTGGCATCCTCACTTGCAATGCGCATTAGCTCCGGATCTCTTGCATTTACAGACCAACCACCTTAGCATACCCAGGGACAGAAAACCCCCCCTCTGGCCAGCCGGATGCCAAGGCCTTTTATGAGACGAAGCCATAGATCAACCCAGCAGGCCTGAGCACTGCGAAAGTTCCGCGCGAAAAGCAGGAGCTGCGCGTGGGTTTCTGAACACCCGTTTTGGCCACAGATTCCGCGATAAATGTCCCGTGGAGTTTCACCTACACCAAGATGTACGCTCGAAACCGAGCACACAATGCAAATCCCTATTAGTGAGCATCTCACTCTCCATGGAGTCTGTGAAGGTCGGTCCCCTGTCCACCGTTGAAGGACCCGACTCCCACAAAGCCCTTTCTGAACACACCACCAGCGCATCAAACCAGACAAGGAACCCGCCTGTTAAGTCACTTTTAACGCAAAGGCCGAAAGCTTACTCTTCTTCCTACTACCTTTTACGCATCCATATCCATCCGCATAGTTATCATTTAATCAGACGTTTTTGCACCTGTTAACTTTTCACATCGACTGCTTGTTGTTTCAGCTTGTCACTTTTTCTGCACCCCCGAACTCGATGTTACAAAGGCATGCTCAGTTGTCAACCCACCTGACCTACACGCTTTCCTTTAGAAGACCCTTTTTTATCCTGTGCTGAGCCTCGTACTGCCACGGATTTAGCTCTATTTTCATTATTATACACCCTTCTCTAAGGCGTTCAGGACATTTTGATCGATCCACAACACACGTCACATTAACCCTACTTCCTGTGCACCTACCTTTTCTTCCAGAAATTCATCAGTACCAAACTCCACCTTAAGCAAAGCTGGTAAGCTTTTGGCGGATGCGATGGCTTGCCTTAAAGCCCACTAGTGCGGTTAATCACCCATCTATTATTGCAGAAAACCCGCAGTTTCTGGACCGCCAGCCTCATTGCCTGACCAGACCTGATTTGTCTGACTTATACATGGCTTGACGTCAAAATACTCAGAGCAAATATGCACGTAAATTCCATGTTTTCTCATGAAAACTTCTCATCAGTGAACTCTCAACTAACCGAGTGTCATTAAGTGTACCCCCATAATTTCATATGCGGAGCACCCCATCAATTTTGCTTTTTATCTCCACTCGCTCAAACATCTTTTGCGTCGGTGTTTCACCACAAAAAATCAATCGGTTGCTTGTCTTGTTTCCATCGATGACTGCCCCATCACTTTTGCTTCCGTTATCGCCAGGTAACTGAACTTATATTTTACCAGCTTCTAGTTGTCTTTTCCGTGTAAACTTCAGTCGATGACTCTCGTCTCGCATTCTGTAACCGATATGACATCAGAAAACGCATAATCTCTCAGTATCGCTACTGATCCTTCAGAGACTGCTTCGAATCTTTTTCAGGCGCCCAAATCTCTACTGTGCTGAGAAGGCGATGGTACCCTATTCTGTGGCCCGCAAAATGGTCGTCAAGGTATCGAAGTCTTTGTCCTGAATCAATTTGCTCACCCACCATCATCTATGATCCTCTGATCCGTGTTGACCACCCCGACCTACAAGGAACTCACCACACCCCTTTTTCACAGAGAAACCTGGAACACCTTGCCAAAGCCTCATCCATTAGGCTCTTCTAGAGTACAAATGCCACAGAGGAACAGGTGGTAAGGATTCCTGACTCGGAGTTCAGCCAGTGGTTACCAGCTCCATTTTCAAAAATCCATTATAACAGCCACCGATGTTAGGCACTTTAATAGTCTATCCATACATGCAGCGAGTTCTTGACCGGCTTTCTCAAGTATTCCTGATAAAAATCGTAGTTCCGTTGACATTAGTAGGTCCTTGTTTCAACGGTCCACCCATTACTAGCTGAGTCATTCAGAGGAGTGTGCTGACGAGTTCTTGACCGGCTTTCTCAAGCATTCCTGATAAAAATCGTAATTCCGTTGACATTAGTGGGTCCTTGTTTCAACGGTCCACCCATCACTAGCTGAGTCATTCAGAGGAGTGTGCTGCGCTACACTATCCTATCCTAATTTACATCATCGCTACACTAGGTGCCTTGTCCCTAAACGAACCCTTTCTATTTGCCAAGGATGTAAAAGTCATGAACGGACGCTCTCCCCTGATGCAACTGTCGTATTTCACCAGATCCAAATAGGCTGAGATTATAAGGCTAGCTAGTTAGGTGAACCCGACCAAGATTTATCTTTCGCCATGTCTCAAACAGTCTGTGTCGCTGCTTTATATGTGGTGACAGGTTAACGCTTGGGGTAGAAGTGTTCTTTGCTTCGCTAAACTCAGGAACCTTGGCCTCAGATTCAGTTGTACGTTGAGGTTTTCCCGGCTATTCAAATTTGCGTCGCCAAAGTTGAAGTTCTGCTATCCAGTATATCTTCTCCCGACTCAACTGCGAAGAAATCGCGATGTTTAAGCAACGCGAGCCTTCAGTCTTGTAATTTAGCTCTGCGTTTCAATAACTATGTACCCAGAGTTGCAGACTTGTAACTAAAACCAAACGGCGTTTGTTAAAAATCAAATCGGCCTCTCTCCCTCCTCTCCGTCTGCATATTCTTAGGCCTTAAAGCATTGTGTCTCAGAGGGGTGGAATTAAATCCTAAACTAGTGTATTGCACCAGGGTACATTTATGCCGAGGGCTAGGCGAAATCTGGGTTCCTGGCTTGGTTTTTGGCATGGTGATAATGCCACTCGGCTTGAGCAACCTGTTTCTCGTCTACCATCTTCGCATCCGGGATGGTCCTCGTACACTAAATCTAGACAGGGCACATCAACGTAGCTTCTGACCGTCCGCACATAATTTGATTACTTCTGATAATTCTGCCGCCATACTTGGCACCCCACTATCCTCTATCACTACTAAGACTTGGGGGCAAAGCCCACCTGCGCTTACCGTGATCCTCATCTCGCCTCCCTTCAATTGCTTCTGTGAATTTGTCGAGGTCATCAGGCGTCACCGCTCATAGTGGTGCTTTTATTCGAGGTCTCATAAACCTCTTCTCATTCCAATTATCATGATACTGCCTGAAATTTTTCACAGCTGTCACATCATGGTACAATAAGACAGTCGTCCGAATATATCGAAAGCAAAGGAGTAGAATCTTCATAAACACTCACCAGCGTGGTGTGTCGCGGTGCACCAAGCTGTAGTAGACTCATGTGGGGTTGGCTTTGTGTCAGTGACGCAGCCGATCATTTTCTAATTGCACTGCCTTGGGACCAGAGTATATCCATTGTTGCTCAAGTGACCTAGTTCAACCAGGAGATGCCCTTTAAAGGCCTGTTTAATTTGGTTGGGCTGTGTTTCTGGCCTAGAATTTTAGCTAAGTGAAAAGGATGTCTGGCACATGGAGCTTACTTAATCATGTAAGACAATTGGATGGCTTACAATCGCGCAAATTGGGTAGCGAAATGGGTTTAAAAGATGCTCGCGATGGACAAACGCCGCCGATTGGATGGTTTCCCTCACTCATTACGCATAGAATGACACGCATGTCCTCTTCCTCTCCAGAGCAGGGCAATTCACCCAGTGTCGGAATTTACAAATAAAACTAGAAAGCATTCTTTATCAATGATTTGTGTCGCTGGCTGTAGCTTATCCGGGTCAAAGCTTATTTTCCTGGGACTATCCTTGTGGATTCGAAGCATCAACTAAAGCAAAAGCAAAAACAAGTCAACAGAAATAAACCAAAGGCAATCTAGTGACGCCCAAAGCGGCACGTACCTCACATTTATCCATAGTCTCCAGTTCTTGGGCCACGAACTCCCCCAGGGTCATCAAAATTTTGGAGTCATTTGATTGTCTGTTTACGCGCAGTGCATAATATAAGTTACCCATCCACCTCCCCGCTCCATATTCCATCGGATGCAGTTACACCCAATTGGCAGCTTGGCTATCCCTCCAAAATCCTCGGCTTTTTTCTAATGTGTCACGGCTTAAACGTTTCAGTGTCTGCCAACGATGGCTTTTTAACCTCATTTTGTGCCTCAGCACGTTCCCTTGCGTGGTGAGTTTATCTCCTGCAACTGCTTGCAAGCTGTTATTGACTAGCCGCAAAGGCAAAAGCGCTCGAATTAGGATGTTTTGCTGAATCTACTCACACCTTAGAATGCTATACTTCCTAACCAATCCCTTGACAGGTGCCAGAAATGATTACCAGGCAGTCGGCGTTTCATCTAGCTAATGCATTCCCCTCACAATAACATGCTACCACGTTCATTTATTCCTGCCGCTTGTCGCTGTTCTTCACTGACTCTGCGTAAACAGTTAATACTGTCTTTTGGAAGCCGACGCCATGGAGTTGCTGCGGTAGTTGGAGACGCCAAGTGGTCCTAAGTGCCCGCTATTTTAGGTTGCAATCAACCTTCTAACACCTGCTATGTGAGGCAAGCATTTTCACTCATTTTTTCCTTTGCGGGTCTCTAATCTAGCTGTGGCTACTTCATTGCCTTGTAGGGTTGGGAGCATCATGGCTTGCCTCTACCTTGATATTCTTCTCCACAATCACCCATCCAGCCCTAATGATCCTAAACGCATTCAACAACCTAAGGTGTCTCAAACAAGATGTGCCATTGATGAATCAAACAACGACGTTGTGACTAGGTTACCATGACTGCGCTGGCCAGCCTGATGGCCTGCTCGTATTTCACTGCGCTTATGCCGTTCCTCGACGACCGTCTCAGTCTGCTTGATTTGGGCCAGGTTACTGGCTATGGTAGTGTACTATCTGTTCGTCCGCCCACGAATTCACGTGTTCATCCCGTGGCGTCTATATGGCCTTGTGTAATACAAGCGGTGTTGCTGCCCCAAAAAATCCGGTCAAAGCCTGTAAACAGTGCTCAAAATCACCACTAACCTTCCTGTCCATTCGACCCAAGTAGGACTCGTCACCCCCATCCTGCTATCCGTGACCTAAGCCAGTACTATAACTACTCGAGGTCATTGTATTTCTGTGACGGTTATCAGTTTCTTTTCAATCCCTAGACCTTTACTTTTGGCACGCTCAAGAGATTCTGTTTCCACCACCCCGAAATTCGCCTCTTCCTCAGTCAGAACTTTTCCTCATGCTAATCTCGTGCAATTAATGACTTACCGTAACCTATGGCCGTGGTCTCGGGACCATGCTAACATTGTCAGGACCACCTCTGTGTCCAAAATGCTATTTTTCTATAAAACATCCATTTATTTAGTAATCCGGTAATTTAGTAATGTAGTTAGTACTTTGCAACTGTTGTGCTTTTATTCTGGTTGTATTATCGTGATTATTCTTAGCGGCATGTTCAAAATTAACTTTTGTTCCGCTCTTCAAATTAGTTACCAAGTTCTTCTGCAGACTTAGCTACCAAGCGATATTTATATCCAAGTCATTTGCCTCCAAGGATCACACTATGAACGGATTTAAATAAAGATTTTTTACCGACAAATTCGGGTCTTCTCACTTTCCTGTGCAAAACACTGTCCTGTGAAGGAGCAGCCGGAGAGTTAACGGAACAAGATTGATGCGTCAAAAGACAGTAAACACAAAAAATGATTTTATTACCCATGCTTTTGGAATCCACTGGTGACCATATTTGTTGAGAATGAGAATGAGCCCATTAGGGCACCGCAATATTTTACGCATTGTGATGAGTCAATTGCAAGCGGTACTTGTGAGTAGGCGTGAGAAATAGTATATGAATTGTGCTTGCAACAAAAATCAGTGCGGAAAACGAAAAAACTGCGTATACTTATCAACCTTCTGTACACGCTTGTTTTAGCAGAGACAATTAGACATACCAAGACGGAATGATATGTGCAACGTCTGCACAAGGGGTGACAAGTTGCACGAAGCAAATCCGATGAGATCATTTTGAGCCTGTCAATGAAACGGTAATACCACATTCTGAGAAAGAAACGAGTATACGAATTGCAACTTTTTATGAATGGATACGCTGTCTAGTTTCGAGGTAACAGATATCATAAAACATTACCTAAGAGCTATAGAAAATAGTCTTCCCGAGTATTCAGGACCATGATCAGCCCGGATAATTCATCTTAGCCAAACAGCCCGCATAACCTTTTGTTTAATTGATTGCCCGAGAAAACCGCAAAGCCAATGCTAATCTGGACTGCACGTTGAAATAGATTTACTCGCTTCCGCGGGATGCAGTGGACACATGCTTACACCGAACGTAAGGAGACGACAGAGGTGGCTTTTTAGTTCCTGTCACAGTGCGT